CTGGAATAAAGAGGGTTGATAGAGGATAAACAAGTAAATAAGAGAGAAATATAAAAACAACTAGGAAACTATCAGAACCGCTCACGGCGCATGCGCATCAACACCGCTCGCCCGCTATTTCCCTAATAACACACGTTCGTTTTTATTTTTACACGTTTTTTTACTCACAAAGATTGTCAAGAAAGCGTGTTTGTCATGTTCATGTCAAATTAAAGTGATCACGAAACAGATTTACTTTAGAAGATCAGGAGGCCCTGAGGAAGAAAGGAACATTAGCATGACTCTAGTATGACTTACAAAAGCAAGACTGGTGAGTTTTGTTATGTTACACACGGCCAAAATGTTCAAGTTGGATGGGAGCCACAGAGCAGAACGGTGTAGAGATCAGTAGACATCTGGGAGGTGGACAGCATGAGTCACGAGTGGATGAGCAGAAAGATCCGTAATGACAAAACTGATTGTTAGTCATGGGAGGATGACTGAGAACTACCCAGGAGGAGGAAGAAATTATGTGATTGAGAAGAGAGCTGGAATTCTGTGTAGAAAAGAAGTTTCAATAAAGTAAAGATGAGTGACCGGCCACCAGCTGTTTTTGTTCTCCTGCCAGATGAGATGATGGTTACAGGCGTGAGGATGCACCTTCTGTTATAGCCACATTAGAGGAGTTGTCCGGTAACTCTGTCGTGCAGTGGTGAGCAGCCTGGCTGAGGAGGAGAGAAGGAAAAACCACACAGAGTAGAATACTAACTAATAATTACAATTCCTTGTTGTGTAGCTCACCTTACGTGCACTTTAAAACCTGGACCTGTGCCTGCTCACAGCATCCCGTTTGTCTGGTCTTTGGGACTGGGCACAGAGAGGTTCTGGAACAGGAATTTTGTCTGAGTACTCCTGATATGGGAGAGGATCCACCACCACAGAGTCGAACAGCAGGTCCATAAGCTTGTGCTGTCATGATCTGTGCTGCATAACCATCTCTGCTGAGTGTTTTACAGGTGGGTGTGTCTGGAGAGCCCAGCTGTGCCAAATCAGCTCATCAGCGATCAGGGGATTTAAGGAGCAGCTGGACATCTCACCATTGCCAGATGATACTCAGTCTTGGGTAGTTTCTAGCCCTCCTTTTGACCTTCCTAAAACAATTTTAGAATTTGTTTGTCCGCTTGTTCCTGCCCTTCTGGCAGTTAACCTGCTCTGCCCTCCTGATTCCTCCAGGTTCCAGTCATCTGTTCATCTCCACTCTCTGCTATATCTTTGGAACCATCTACCACATTCCAGTCCTGCTGTTTGCCCCTGATCGCCAGCTCTCCGTCACCCCACCTATCCACCTGCAGCTCCTCGGTCTCCCCATCCAGCCAGGTCTGACTAACCCCCCCACAAAATACCGGATCATCCAGGAAACAGTAAGCCTTATTTTTTCATCATCGTCTCATGTTGCTCCAGACTCTGACCTCTCTTCCTCTCTCAGACCCCACGGATCCCTCCAGTCCTGCAGAAGCTTCGGCTACCTCTCCCATTCAAAATAAATCATTTAAACTTACCTTCTGTCTCTCGGTGGTGATTCTTCATGTCGTGGGTCAAGAAATTACCCTCAAACATGACAGAATCATCTGGCCAAACTCCTGACCCCGCTGTCGAATCACTACCATCACCCACCGAACAGAGCCTGTCAAGTTGCAGGTGTCTGGTAACCACCAAGAAGTCATTTCATTTTTTGTTTTTCCCTCTCCTCAGTTTCCAGTCGTCTTAGGACATGAATGGCTTAGCATGCACAACCCCCACATCGATTGGAAGACTGGTCAAGTTGCTGCTTGGAGTCCTTACTGCTTGTCCCACTGTTTGTTGTCCGCTAGCCTTCCGGTCCAGGTTCCTGCTTCCAGTCCTCCACCCATTCCAGACCTTTCTTCAGTGCCATCAGAATATCATGACCTACAAGCAGTTTTCAGCAAAGATCGAGCTGCATCCTTACCTCCCCATCGTCCATATGATTGCAGTATCGACCTGCTTCCTGATGCCACATTCCCATCCAGCAGGTTGTACAGACTTTCTAAAGCGGAACATGAATGCATGACCACATACATCTCTGAGTCCTTAGCATCAGGTCTGATTCGTCCATCCACTTCTCCCTTGGGCGCAGGGTTCTTCTTTGTTTCAAAGAAAGATGGTTCCCTGCGTCCTTGTATCGACTATCGAGGGTTAAATCAAATAACAGTCAAGAACAAATATCTTCTGCCTCTGCTTTCCTCCACCTTTGACCCTGTACAGAATGCAACCATCTTCACCAAATTGGATCTCCGCAACGCTTATCATCTTGTAAGGATCAAGGAGGGTGACGAGTGGAAAACGGCCTTCAAGACACCTTTGAGCCACTACGAGTACCTCGTCATGCCTTTTGGCCTGACCAATGCTCCCGCAGTGTTCCAGTCCCTGGTAAACTCCGTATTCTCTGACTATATCAATTCATTTGTCACTGTATACCTCGACGACATTCTGATTTTTTCCAGTACCCTTTCCGAACACCATCAACATGTCCGCGCTGTTCTACAAAGCCTTCTGGAGAACCGCCTTTTCGTCAAGGCTGAAAAATGCGAATTCCACGTTTCCTCAGTGAAATTTCTGGGATTTGTTCTGGAGAAGGGAAAGCTGAGAACAGACCCAGAAAAGGTTGAAGCTGTCCGTGACTGGCCAACTCCCACTACCCGTAAACAGCTTCAACGTTTCCTCGGGTTTGCAAATTTTTATCGGCGTTTTATTCGTGGCTACAGCCAGGTGGCATCTCCCTTGACGCAGTTGACTTCTGTTAAAAGAGCCTTTGTGTGGTCAGCTAACGCTGAAGAGGCTTTTCAGGAGTTAAAGACACGTTTCACTCAAGCTCCTGTTTTGGTTCGCCCTGATCCGTCTGTTCAGTTCACCATGGAAGTCGACGCTTCAGATTCTGGCGTTGGTGCTGTCCTATCTCAAATGTCACCTTCAGATAATCTATTACATCCCTGTGCTTTCTTTTCAAAGAAACTCTCTCAGGCGGAGCAAAACTGTGATGTGGGAGACCGAGAGCTGCTAGCCATCAAATTGGCTCTGGAAGAGTGGCGCCATTGGCTTGAAGGTTCCGAGCATCCCATCATTATCTGGACAGACCATAAAAACCTTGCTTACCTGAAAGAGGCCAAGAGGTTAAACCCCAGACAGTCCCGGTGGTCCTTGTTCTTCACACGCTTCAATTTAATCATTTCCTACACCCCCGGATCAAAGAATGTCAAACCAGATGCTCTATCCCGCCAGTACGCTTCAGACAGAGACCTCGAACCCGCCACTATCCTTCCTCCATCTTGTGTTGTAGGAGCTGTTTCCTGGGACATCACCAACAAAGTTCTGGACGCCCAACGCACTGATCCTGACCCAGGTAATGGTCCCCCCAATAAACTGTTTGTGCCTCAACAGGTTCGAGGAGCAGTGATCCACTGGGCACATACCGCCAAGTTTTCCGTTCGCCCTGGAATTGGTCGCACTCTCGCCCTGATCCGCAGGTCATTCTGGTGGCCCTTCATGTTTAATGACACTAAAGAGTACATCAACGCCTGCCATGTCTGTGCCCGGAATAAAACCACCAATCAACCCCCGGCAGGACTGTTAAATCCTCTCCCCATTCCATCTCGCCCATCGTCGCATATAGCAGTGGACTTCGTTACTGGCCTACCCCTCTCCAAAGGTTTTTCTGCAATTCTCACTATAATCGATAGATTTTCAAAAGCCTGTCATTTTGTTCCAGTGAAATCCCTTCCATCATCCACTGAAACCGCTAACCTCCTCATAACCCATGTTTTCAGGCTTCATGGCATCCCATCGGAGATCTTGTCAGATCGCGGCCCCCAATTCCTCTCCAGGGTCTGGAAGGAGTTTGCCACCTTATTGGGGGCCCGTGTTTCCCTGAGTTCTGGTTACCACCCCCAAACTAACGGTCAGTGCGAGCGGCTCAATCAGGAGTTGGAGGCTATGCTCAGATGTGTCTGCTCTTCAAACCCTACCAGCTGGAGCACCCAACTACCATGGATCGAGTACGCGCACAACACCCACGTTTCCACTGCAACCAGTAAGTCCCCGTTTGAATCATCCCTTGGTTACCAACCTCCCCTGTTCCCTTCGGATCTATCCTCCTCTGTCACAGTCCCTCAGTTTATCCGCCGGGCAAGGAGAACATGGATCCAAACCCGGGCGGCCCTTCAGCGCACCAAAGAGCGCAACCAACGGCTGGCAGATCGACACCGCAGACCCGCGCCCGTGTACAGTCCAGGTCAACAGGTCTGGCTGTCAACCAAAGATATTGGTCTCAAGGGTACAACTAGGAAACTTTCACCTCGCTTCATTGGCCCATATCCCATTCAGGAGGTTCTCAGTCCCTGTTCTGTCCGTCTTGTCCTGCCCCCGTCTATGAAGATCCACCCTGTCTTTCATGTATCCCTCCTGAAACCTGTCTCGTCCAGTCCGTTGTGTCCTGTTCCTGCTCCCTCTTCTCCTATTCGTCTCACTGATGGTGGACTTGGCTTTCGTGTTCGGCGCCTGCTGGACGTCAGGCCCAGGGGCCGGGAGCGTCAGTTCTTGGTGGACTGGGAGGGTTACGGCCCAGAACATCGCCAGTGGGTCCCCAGTTCCTGGATTGAGGACCCTTCTCTCATCAGAGACTTTGACGCCGCTCGGTCTTCTGCTGCTGCCTCCTCCTCTGCGCGGCCGCCGGGTGTCGGCCTTTGAGGGGGGGGGGGGGTACTGTCATGATCTGTGCTGCATAACCATCTCTGCTGAGTGTTTTACAGGTGGGTGTGTCTGGAGAGCCCAGCTGTGCCAAATCGGCTCATCAGCGATCAGGGGATTTAAGGAGCAGCTGGACATCTCACCATTGCCAGATGATACTCAGTCTTGGGTAGTTTCTAGCCCTCCTTTTGACCTTCCTAAAACAATTTTAGAATTTGTTTGTCTGCTTGTTCCTGCCCTTCTGGCAGTTAACCTGCTCTGCCCTCCTGATTCCTCCAGGTTCCGGTCATCTGTTCATCTCCACTCTCTGCTATATCTTTGGAACCATCTACCACATTCCAGTCCTGCTGTTTGCCCCTGATCGCCAGCTCTCCGTCACCCCACCTATCCACCTGCAGCTCCTCGGTCTCCCCATCCAGCCAGGTCTGACTAACCCCCCCACAAAATACCGGATCATCCAGGAAACAGTAAGCTTTATTTTTTCATTATCGTCTCACGTTGCTCCAGACTCTGACCTCTCTTCCTCTCTCAGACCCCACGGATCCCTCCAGTCCTGCAGAAGCTTCGGCTACCTCTCCCATTCAAAATAAATCATTTAAACTTACCTTCTGTCTCTCGGTGGTGATTCTTCATGTCGTGGGTCAAGAAATTACCCTCAAACATGACATGTGCACATATACTGGAAAAGGGTTTTCAGTATTACAATAGTTCTCCATGACCATCATTTTGGTTTTATCATACATTATATGACATACATGAGGTTGGATTGGTCTTCAGGGCTCTCACTGTGTAGTCTCCACATTAGTACTTTGGGTACACCACAGCATATCTCAGTTCACCAGTTGCTGTTGCTGCACGTGAGCGTGCTGCATTTTCATTATAGTGCATTGCAGCAATTTGTAATCTGAAATAATCAAACAAACCATATAGATTGTAGGAAAAATTCTACATTTCATGCTAAAATTTAAACAATTAGAGGCATTAATTTGACCATTTATTCTATTCATTACCTAGACAGCATTCCTTTGAAGGAGAAGACCTGACTTTTTGGAGTGAATCTGATGAGGCTGTGGAAGGCCTCCAAGGTGGATGTGTGGTACTGAGGGCTTATCTTCTCTACGTCCTTCACAAACCGTGGAGCTAACAGAATGGCAGTGAGCTTCTCACATGATGCTGTGCCTACGTTGAAAATGTTAATTACATAAATTACAATTTGATCAACTTTAGCCACTTTTGCAGAATTACCGACTGGCACAAAAACAACCCGAATTTTCTCCGAGCCTGACAGTAATAGTCATGTGGACCGTTTCGTCAGCCAGGGCTTCGAGATATGTTCCGATTCGCCGCTGATTCTAAACTTACATCCCGTTCCACATTTTGTGAACTTGACAAATTAGCCCGAAGGAAGTGCAGACCTAAGTGAACCACTTCTCTCAAACTTTGCATTTAGGTAGGGAATTGAGCTGCAGTGTATCTGCGGTCAGGTCTCTCTACGAGTCCGAGAGCTCCACGAGCGGTCAGCCCGCGCAGCAGCTAGTAGGCACCGCATCGGTCAGACATGCACCGGGCTGACCGCCGGGGAGAACCGGGTGGAAGAATGGAACACAGAAGTGTCCCTCCAAGAGCTCCGTCATATTTCAACCCATTTTTATGTTAAAAGCACTGGGTTTTACCCTTTACCCATCGACATATGCCCTATTATTTATTTTACCGTATTTTACATCTAAATTTCATGGTTAAACAGTACATGCTACATGTTAAAATGGTAGTTAGCTAGCTACTTCGATAAACTCAGCTAGTTTAAAGGCGGCAGTGACCTAAAATACATACATTTAATTAACTTACCGAAAAAAATGAAGTGGAGACTCCTTGGACGCTCTATTAGTGCAATTAATGCCACAGCAAGTCATTTTGTCCAACAATTGCACAAATAATATCCAAACAAGAATACACACACACAGAGACTCAAAATCCCGGAACAGTTTCCAGGCCAGACCGAGGCTCTACTGAGGCCTTTCCCCGGAGCTAGCTCTGTGGTCACGTGGGTCTGATGCTCATTAATTATACAGAGTTTTAGGCTTTTAATACACTTAAACAGAAGAGTGAGAAAAACATTCACCCCCCTCAGAGTTGTCATGAGTGTAAACTAGATCATTTAAACCAAAAACATGTTTTGGTACCAGGCTGTAAACATGTTTATTTCTGCTGTGAAATTGGTATTTTTAACATGGGAGTCAATGAGGATTTGCTCGCTTCTGACACCAGCCCCTAGTGGAAGAGGGTGGAACTGCAATTTTTGGTACTTCTGGGTTGGAGTCCATTTTTGAGCTGCATTGTGGGGGCTTGATGGGGCTGCACATCTGGGCCAGCATGGACCAGACTCTGTAGCTTTTTTAAGCCATATCTAGGTGGCCTTGTATTTTCCGTGCTCTTCCAAGGCAGTCTGGTTCGGCCTGAACAGGTCCAACACACCCACTGCCAACTGATTGGCCGGCTCAAATTCACGCCTACTTTTAGGGGAGCTTCCGATTGGCGGATAAAATCAACCAGCGGGAGCTCCCCGCATGAGCAATTCATTATTATTCTGGATACTGAGGAGCAGTGGCGGCTTGTCTATAGGGGGTGCTAGGGCACCATCCCACCAGTCTCACAGGAAGAGGATGAAGAAGAAGAATCACAAAATATATGAAATATACATGAAAATAAACTAAACAATCTATATATGTATCTATATATTCTGTTGTTCTATTACAGAGAAATCCATGAAAACCAAAAGATGTGGAAGGATTAACCAATGGTGTTGCAGGTTACACCCACTGGCTAAACTGAGACATTGAACTACAGTTGGCTACAGCTTGTAGCACGAGGTGGGGAGTGGGCGCTGGGCACAACAATACCATATATGGAAACGGTGTATTGCTTTCCAGAACTGAAGGGGGCGCTAATGTCGAACTACCGTTTTGGAAAAATCTTTATTCAAACTGTTCATGAAACAACTGAAACACGAAATAGCGCCCCCTTCAGTTTCGGAAAGCGATGGCACCGTTTCCATATATGGTGTTGTGGTGCCTAGTGCCCACTCCCCGCCCCGTGCTCCAAGCTGTAGCCAAGACCTTCTCAGACATTCTGCTGTAAAGTCTCATTATGAAATAAATCAGCCATTAGAAAAAAACACTATTATGAAATAAAAGCTGTCTTTGTTAAAGACATATGTAATAAAAACTGAATAAAAATGGCTCATTATTAATTTGGATTATTATGAAAAAATGACTTTTGAAATAAACTTTATATTAATAAAGACATTTTAAAAGAAGAATGAAATATATTTCATAATACTGAGCTTAGATTTTACATAACATTCTGTTATTTCATCATTTCATTGTCAGATCACATGATTGTCTAGTATTTCTTCATGTAGATATTTATTTCATAATGTCTTATTTATTAATTGCATTTTGAATACTTTTGAGTTCAGGTCAGGACAGAACCAGAAACTCTCCACAGTTCACCATCCTTGGTTGTTGTGGAGCAGCTGAGTACACCTCGTGGAGTTTTGTTATCATGAAGAACCAGAAAATGATGGAACGTGACAGAGATTCTCCTGCATGTAAAACGGTGGATTTTTTTCAACTATAACACAGATTACAACCTTAAACCAGCAAAGGTAAGACTGAGTTAATGCTTTTAACTTCATGAAATTAGCTTTCTTTTTCATGCTGAATTTGCATGTATTAGTGAACATTAAGCACTGTTTGCTGTTACTGGTTTGTCGTTATGACGCATAAGAATGGTGGCATGGCGTTCCCTCGTGGTGATATGTGGATAGCGCATCTGAAATCAGCCCAGACTTAATTAGAATTATGAGCGATGAGGCTAATATATTCATAATGTCAAAACTTTTCTAATCCGTGTTTCTCCTGAAATCTTTGTTTTTGACTAGAAATATGATGAAAAAATACTAAAAATGTATGTTGTAGCGTTATGAATATCCTAATTGTCTGCCCTTAACAGCTGCCCCTTCACTCAGTAACAACGTGTATGAATCGCCAAGGTCGGGTGCTGGTTTCAGTATGTTTACATTCCAGGAGGAGAGACAGAAGAAGAGAAGAACGCTTTCCATTAATTAATCAAAGTACTCTATTTGTGATAAAGCTAATCAAAACATATGTTGATCAATATTAATCAGGTGACTGATCTGTGAAATAAAGATGTCATGATTTATGTGTTTAATGAATAAACAGGACTCTGCACCAGACATACTGATCCACATAATATAGAAACGCATGACACATTTGCTCTCATCCAATCAGAACTTTCGTCTGTCGTAGGGCAGAATCTGGGCTGTTTACTTAAGTTGTCCAATCCGGTTTACTAAGATTTATAAACAACTAAGGGATATAAAACAAGGCAACGCCATTTTATCCTCAGTTCTGTTCGATCTGAGTTCCAAAGCAGTTACATCATAGACTCAACGTAGTTTTCAACCAGCTCTCGATCCATCACCGCAAAGAGAGGTGCAGCCTGGCCAGATGCACTTTCTACTTTAAGCTGAGAACTGTCAAGCTGGAAATTTCTGTCGTTTGAACAACAAGACGACGGTTCCTTCGCAATAAGAGCTGAACCCGCCGAGATCTGCTGCTACTGCCGGAGCTATCCGTAGACGGGTTTGCCGTGCTGCACTACTGTTTCATCAGCCCAGCACCAAGGGGGTTCTAGGACCTGACACTCCTGATCTGACCACGGGAGACTCCATAGGTACGTAGTCACGGCACAAGATGGCGGCTCATGTCATAAGCTTCTGAAGCCTCGTGGTCCATAGTCATAACATCAGACAACCAGATCCACCTACGGCAGCCTAGAGATTCTGAACACACACACACACACACACACACACACCAACACTATAACATTCAAATCCATCTGCATCCATCATTGAGTTAGTCCTGGTAGATTGTTTGAATTCATAAAAATTAAAGATTCTTAAACGATCCCAACTCTCTCTTTTCTTGTCTCTCAGTCAATATAAAGTGTTTAAGTAAACTCCCTGATGATAAAAACAACCACTAATACTTAGATCTAATTACAGTGTAAAAATATATACACTATATTCCACTACAATGTTTTTGCCATGTTTGATTCAAGCAAGTTAGAGACTAGTGTTTAGTGAGTGTTTTTATATTATTTATTTCTACCTGCTTGAATTTTGCTGTTGGTTTAAAATACCAAGAAAAGCAATGTTAAAAAAGTATTTTTTTTTCAAATAAACCGTCATTTATCTGCCCGTAAACCATTATTTTGTAAGTGTCATGCTTGGGTGTACATGCTTGACCCACACGAGACGAATGTAAATTAAACAAAGGTTTTATGAAACGGTGCACAACTCAGTTACTGAAGGTGTGAAGTTGAGCAGGATCTGAGAAAAACAAGGAGCAAACATCAGGTAATCAATAATATGACTAGGCTAGACTAGACTAGACTAGACTAGAGAGTGAGTGGCAGGGGAATGTCCACCTGGATATACCCGTGTAGAGTAATCAACCGGCGTCGAGCAGTGGTCTGCCTCCTCCAAAAGGTTGGTTTATGCTTGACGCGTCCGCGAGGTCCGCACGGCTCCGCGCGGAAAAGTTGCGTCATTTTAACAACCACGCCCCTCCACCGCGCCTCCGCACGGCCCAGAATTTCCGCAACGCACACCTCGGAAAATTTCTAACCACGCGGACGGACGGACGCGGAAAAACATGGCGGACCGGCAAGAACTAGTATGGCAGAGGTTGGTAAACACAGACATTTGTATGATTCAGCTCTCAGAGATCACCGTGATCAACATGTTGTTAATAATTCTTGGAGAGAAATAGCTCGCACTGTCGGAAAAGACGAGGACGCTGTTAAAAATGCTGGAATGCCATGTTGTAAACAGTCATTTCTACTTCTACTATGGTGTAGTGTTGGATGCATGCTGTAGAGCTCCATGCTGCCCCCTACAGTTTGGGAGAATATTGGCTCACCGCAGAGACGAGCCGCACAAACCATAAAAGCTGCGAGTTGTGAAGCGCGTTCCAGCCGCGAGCCGCATCACCAAGCGGAAAGTAAATGCGTCAAGCATAAACCAAGCTTAAGCAGTGGCTGATGATGGATCTGCTGCAGCTGGTCCCGTTCAGACACCGCTCACCTGGAATGAATGCTAGAGGCTGATTAGAGGATGAGCTCACCTCAGTAAGGAAGCAAATGGATAAGAAACATGTTAATAGTACATATTTATTAAAAACCCTCATTATTCATGTGCACCTTCCCATAACAGGTGATGCAAATCTCAGCTGGCCCGCTCTTTTCGGCACAACATCCCCTCTGTCTCTCCTCACCGCTGCGAGGAGCGCCATAGCTAATATTAAGCACAATACTTAATAATGCGCTAAGGAACATTTATAAAGGGACCCTTTGTGAAGTGTTACCATTAAATATTGCTGCTGCTCACATTTTCAAAAAGAAAGATAAATATTGAATTTTTGTTTAGACAGCTACGGGTGAAACAAACTTTCTGAATGCTACAAAAAAAAATTGGCATAACAATAATCAGACAAAGTGTCGGTAATCAAAACAACGGCACATTTTTCTCTCTAATTTGAGGTAAATGTGTTGAATACACATGGGTTTACGAGAGAGAATGAAGGAGCATGCAAGGCTGAATGCTCCCAGAACTGCCCCAATTTGGTGTGCCACCCTAAAAATGTCACTAGCCCCCCTTGAGCATGTTTTGGGGGCACCACTGAACCTCGCAGGCAGACAAGCATAAGCATTTGTGAGGGTACCCACTCCCCACTCGGTCTCCATCTGTCATGGCACTGGAGGTCTTCATCCTTAAATGTGTCAGGCACCTTGACAACGTTATGCTGTATATAATAGTTAGCATGTGTGGGCTCTCTCTCTCACCTTTCCCAGGAATTCAGCAGTCCAGGAAGAACAAAGCCTGCTTCACTCCTCATGCCTAACCCTAACCCTGGTCTCTGCATCCTGTGAGCACCAGCAGGTCCTGCAGTTTTGTTGACTCTGTTTACATCAAGGGAATTTTCACATACTCTAATACGGAGGTCCAGCCATCTGGCCTACTAGATCCGTCACTCATTAGTGTTCGTATTACATGCGTCTCGTATTTAAAGTGAACTTCCCAACATTTCTTAGGCCCATGAACGTGACTGAAGTTGGACAAACCAAGATGTCAGACAGCGCCGTTGTTGTCGAACTTGTACAGGAGTCCTGGTTAACCTGTTTATTTGAGTCAACTAATTATAGACCAATGGTTTGCCTACTTAATGACCTAATGCATCATTTCTATATAGATCAGTTCAGCACGTCTGCTGGTTCCTTCCATTAAAGACATGAAGACATTTATACAGATGATTGTGTTTATTTTGTTTCATACATTCAACATATAGGACCTGCTGATGCTCACAGGTTTTATATACTCTAAATCTGAGACCATGGTCTTGATTCGGAAAAGGGTAGAAAGCCTTCTCCGGGTCAGGGATGAGGTCATGCCCCAAGTGGAGGAGTTTAAGTATCTCGGGGTCTTGTTCACGAGTGAGGGAAAACTGGAGCGTGAGATCGATAGGCGGATTGGTGCTGCATCTGCAGTGATGCGGGCGTTGTACCGGTCTGTCGTGGTGAAGAGAGAGCTGAGTCAGAAGGCGAAGCTCTCGATTTACCGGTGGATCTTCGTTCCTACCCTCACCTATGGTCATGAGCTTTGGGTAGAGACCGAAAGAACGAGATCACGGATACAAGCGGCCAAAATGAGTTTTCTCCATAGGGTGGCTGGGCTCTCCCTCAGAGATAGGGTGAGAAGCTCCATCATCTGGGAGGGGCCCGGAGTAGACCTGCTGCTCCTTCAGAGGAGCCAGTTGAGGTGGCTCGGGCATCTGGTCAGGATGCCTCCCTGGTGAGGTTTTCCGGGCACGTCCAACCAGGAGGAGACCTAAAGGTAGACCCAGGACACGGTGGAGGGACTATGTCTCTCACCTGGCCAGGGAACGCCTTGGGATTCCCCCGGAGGAGCTGGCCCAAGTGGCTGGGGAGAGGGAAGTCTGGGCCTCTCGCCTTAGGCTACTGCCCCCGCGACCCGACTCCAGATAAGCGGATGAACATGGATGGATGGATGTTAAAATGTTTTTTTCCAATTAAAAGCACGTCTTTAAATCTCAACAACCATAGTAACAGTGTGTACAGACAACAGAAACAACGGTCATGGAAATGCATCTTCATGTAAACACTAGAGATAAAACGTGTCACACCCTTCAAAACTATAGTGGAAAATAAAATATATACATACAAAAAGTCAGACGAGTGAACACAACCATGTTTCTGCTGGGATTCAGTCACCACACAGGAAAAATAACAGCATGAAACCCACAGAAAGAATAAAAACACTACGTGTCCATCGATACGTCCACCTGGAACCCGGACCAGAGGTGGGGACAGTCCACTCAAGCTTGGTGTGTGAAAGAATGCTGTCTAACAAACGATTTCCACCAAAAGGTGAAATAATATTCACTTATTTATGATTCTTCTCTAGTTTGTCACCAAGACCAAAAAGCGGTGGACTGCTGCAGCAGGAGTTCATCCTAATTCTGTTAATACTGACAGAAACGTGGGGGGGACAGTTGCAGTAACACCTGCACCCGTGATTCTGGGCTCGAGACGTTTAATAACCTCGTGGTTTTTAATCTCACAACAACTTTTCTACACTGATTTTTCTCCATGAAGTTTTCTTTGTCAGGATGAACACATTCAAACCGCCAGCTCTAGACGCGTTAAACTGAGAGACAAGGCTCTGTCACTCCGTCTGCATAAAGGCCAAACATGGAGAATCTTTAGATAGAAACGTTAAAATCACCTCTCTGTGGCTATTAACGCTTCACAACTGGAAGCTGTGGGTCTACATTCTTTCCATCACGGCCCTGCACCGTGTGTGTGATCCATCTGGCTGGTCAGGCTTGTGTGACTGACCAGATGCCTAAAGGGCATCATGTGGCATTCATCTGGCACTGAGCATCTTCAGACGGGAGCATGTGAGGCAAGCAACGGCTCACCTCTCAGTTCCACGGCTGAACAGCAGCAATCCGTATGAGACAGACCTGCAGGACACATCCCACCCTGCTGCTCCTTCCCCTCAGAGGAGGCATCTGGCCTCTCCAGCAACCACACACACACACACGCACACACACACACACCTTTGACCAGATAGAGCAGCAGAGCGAATTGAGAAGGTGCCAAAATGTGCACGATGTCGTGAGATGCAATAGCTAGATGACACCGATAACAGCTCATAGAAGGAGAAATGTGGGCGAGATCACAATCGTGGGGGAGGAGCTTAAACAGGAAACAGCTGTATGAAGACTGTAGGAATTTGGAGCAGGCTGGAGGGGGTGAGCTGTGTCCTGCAGCAGGTGAAGGAGGTGCTGACCATCATCAGCCCATGACTTCTGAGCAAAGAACCATGGCCGAGGAGAAGCCTGCAGTGCGCTTCCATCACCTGGCTTCCTGATTGGCTACATGTCAGTTGGCTAACCCTAGCCCGTGTTGATTACTGGCATGTCTCAATAACCTCTAAACAAGGTGAACGTTCGTGTTTTTGGTTTTTGTCTCCATGTGTGAGTCACCAGAGCTTTGAGTTAGCCTAGAAACCCGCTGGTTTCCTCGTCTTCTCCACTTGGACTAACAGCAGCTACACCAGCAGATCGCGGGTGCTGAAGGAGCGGCGTGAGAGCGAGTAGAAAGAGTCATTTGGGGAAATGGAAGTGATTCTTCACAGTCTTGTAAATCAGGAGCTTCCTGTGACCTGAGTGTGTGTTTGGTTATCCGTGAAACATCAGAGGGTGTTAGGTTGTGTAGGACCACCAGTCTCCTGTGCTTGTGTGAAGGATTTGTCCGGCTATGACCTCGACACAGGTCTCACACCAGATGAGCTCCACCCTCCTCCTCTCTGAATCTCAGGTAGTTCATTCCTCCTCCCTCCCTAGACACAGGCTTCAGGCGCACCGCCGTTGCTGATCTTGACATAGACCTTGGGGTCTTCATCTTGCTCATCCCTGATGTGTTGGAGGTGACGACTGTGACACAGCAGGTACAAGGGCAGGCAGAATCCCAGCATGCTCAGCACCAACAGGCCCACATTCACCTGAGAGAGGCAGAAGTAGATGAGCTGGGATGCAAACGGCTAACTCCAGCCAGTCATGCTCAGCTTCATGTGTTTGTGTTGTCCTACCCATAAAGGATCTCCCTCCAGGGGGCCCATTATGGCCATGAAGAGAGGCTGCTGGAGCAGGGCGAACAGAGCACTGATGAGAGACTGCATACCTGTCAGGCTGCCAAACTGGGAGGATGGGTACCTGTGGAGGATGAACACCACCAGGGTTTGAGTTCAGTTGATGAGCTTCATCCCTCTGAGACGGGTCAGAATGAAAAAGAGCTAAACCGGTTCAATATCACAAGAAAACCTAAGAACCATGGGGATGACGGTCCTCCGAAGGCAGAGTAAACCTGTGTGTGTGTTGTCCCACACTTACACAGCAGCATACAGGCACTTACACAGCAGCATACAGGCACTTACACAGCAGCATACAGGCACTTACACAGCAGCATACAGGCACTTACACAGCAGCATACAGGCACTTACACAGCAGCATACAGGCACTTACACAGCAGCATACAGGCACTTACACAGCAGCATACAGGCACTTACACAGCAGCATACAGGCCTCCGACAGCAGAGTGGATGAAGCCTCTCACCACAGTGTGCAGGACGAAGGACAAGATCTACAGGAATACAAGAAACAAAGACCCACTTCTAATACAGGTAAGCATGCTTCACATGTTCATCTGTCATAAAAGCCTCAGGCACAGACAAATGTCATGGAAAGCCAGTGTCTAGCATGTTTTTGTTGTTTCCTTGCTTCAAAACGCCTGATTTTAATCAGCAGGTGACCAACATGCTTTCACAGAGCCTGGTGAGCTGCTGAACTGGTGATTCAACCTCTGAATCAGGTGTGTTAGAGCAGGGAAACAATTAAAACATGCTAGATACGGGCCCTCCAGGACCAGGACTGAAAACCTCTGTTAATGCCTTTTATGTCCAGCAGGTGGCGCTGACACACTGAGAAACACTGGAGCTGCTGGCATTCGTTGCTATTGGATAACTGCATCTGCAGTGGAATCTCTGCAGAGAAGCGCGCGCACACACACACACACACACACACACACACACACACACACACACACCTGGAGTGTCAGGTTAGGAATGATGCATGTAACTCCGAAGCCAACCAGGAGCAGGTTGGTGAAGATGAAGGCTCTGGTGGCGTTAACGATCTTCTGGATCTTTCTTCCAGGGCGACGGGGCTCACCGGGCTCTCTGATGGGGGGGGGGGTATAAGTAACTTGTTTTCCAGATTCTTCATGTTTACTCTCTAAAATGTCTAAAAGTGTGTCCTCTCACCTTTTCACAGTCTTGTCATTCTCATCCTCGCAGTCTTTGAGCTTCCAGTCCATGATGTAACCGATGGCAGGAGAGGTGATGAGACAGAGAAGCTGGAGCACGCCGAAGATGGAGGTGTACACGCTGACTGAGAGACAGAGGCGGAGCTTCCTGTTAGGCCTTGGTTTTAAAACTAGACGTATGAAGCTGAAGTGATGTGAATGTGACGAGACTTTGGTGGTGAACTGTGGACTTCATGCTCCAGACAAGTGGGGGGGGGGGGGGGGGATCAGCTCTCTTACCCACTTGCATCCTCTCCACTGCAACAGCAGCAGGAAGCCAGCATGACAGGGAAGTTAAGAGGCGTTAAAGATACAAGGCCACCAAACCCAGCAGAACACACACACACACACACACACACACACACACACACACACACCTGTGTTCAGGTCTCCATCTGTAAGCGACTCCAGGATGGTGTTCATGGCCCCCATGTAGAAGATGAGCCTCAGCTGAGTGACACACATGGTGATGAGGCTCAGCAGGAAGATGGGACTGAAGACACTCTTCATGAAGGACTGAGCTGCAGAGGACAGGGTCAGAGGTCAATCCCACGCTGTGTTTTGTATTTAGCCTTGACTCACTGCTGCTGTCAGAATGGTGACCTGTACCAGGTGCTGACAACCCCAGCAGCTACTGGTTACACAGAACTAGCAGCCCACTAGCTGCACCTGCTACATCCTGTTCAGTACCACTCCTGGCTGGAGGTTCATCCCGGACAGAATAACCATGAAACACAAAGATCACAGCAGAGTTTTAGTCCCATTCACAATGACCACCGTGAGATTTTTAAGATTCAGAGTTGGGTCACGACGCCAGAAGTCCACTTTACATGTGGTCCAGCTGTGACACGAGCTGTCACTCCAAACCCGTCTCTGTTTCTCCAGACTGAGGCCATTCACAGAGCTAGCTGCAGCAGGTAAGACTTTATTGGTTAAAAACATTCTACCAGAACTTCAAACTATCCGAACTCTCTCATGAAACATGAGCCCGTCTTCTCCTAACAGAAGAAACACACGAGAGGATCGGTGAGCACAGACCGACCAGGTGGAGCATCTTTACCTGCCAACGCTGCAGGAAGCTGCACGTCCCATCGAGCCTGCGTCTCTCTGACTCCTTACTCCAGCATGTTTTACTTTTAACTCCATGTCAACAACCCTGTTTTCAGTCGACTGATGATTAACAGGCTTCTGCAGAGCCTGATGCTCCAGCACACCTGATTAAACTGTTGAA